CACTAAGGCTCTCTGTGGGCTCAATTATCCCTCATTTGAACAGAAGCAGAAGGACCCCAATTAGTGGTCTAACTTGACACTTGTGTTTGTCAGAGGGGCTTCAGGCTGGAAACTCAGTATGAGAAGATTTTTGCTTCTAAGCCAAAAGGATGACTGTGTCAAAAGTCTAAATGTGATGGAGTGAGGACAATGGTTCCTCTGAAGCTTGTTTCACTGAAATCAATGCAGAGGACACCTTACTTGTCTTCTGCCTTGTCATTGCTCACCACTTTAATTTCCTCTTCCATGGGCAACAGGAAAACACACACACATACTGCATGCAAACTACACACACAAACAACCTGCACTGTTATGAGCTTCAGGTTTTATTACTGCCCATGTTTTGTGACTCTAATTTCCTTTGAGAACTCTATGATTTGCTTCTTAGCTAAATTCTTGTAAGCTAACATACAAAGGCACTGACAGCAGCAATGCTGTCATAATAACTTCTTTATGGAATAATCAAAATGTTATTACTTCCAAATGTCAAGATGGAAAAGCAATGGGCAGATGTGGAAACAACTTATCAAAGCATAAACAGTGAAAATAGGTTGTATTTCAACCTAATTGTTACCTGAATCAACAGCATGCAGGCAGCAAGTCAATGATTTACATCCACAGCAGGTTTGTAGTCGATGTCTATATTTCTGCAGAACACTAGAGACCTCTGCTGGCCAGTAAAGATGTGGTTGGGGAAGTTGTGCCAAGTAATGATGTAATTTTCCGGATTTATAAACAATGGCAACAGTAGACTTGGTCTTAGCAAAGTAGGCCACCCCAAACCTGTCCAGAACTGAGCTGAGTATGACGAGGGTAACACATAATTTCTTAGGAAATACCAGGTGATATGCTAAATCTTTTGCCAAATAACCATTTCAGTATGTTACAGATGGAAAGACGCAGGTTTAAATTAGATTAACGAAGACTGAGTGACGTTTACCTGCTTCACTACTTTAAAATCCTGCTATTTGTGGTTGCTGATTTACTGTCATGACTTACCACTTCATCACTGTTAATGTGTGTTTACACACATACACATTCAGAAGTGGTGGCACATTGGTGCAGCGTTTAGCACTATCACCTCACTCCAAAGGGGATCTGGGTTTGAATCTGCTGGCTGATTCCTTTCGGTGTGGATGTTTGCATGTTCTCTGGCTCAAAACAACACCATTGAGCGTATGAGGGGAAACATCAGAGAGAGGCCTGCTCAAAATGAGACCCTTGAGCGACAGTTGGAAAACATCGCGGAACGGATCACTGCAGTTGTGAGGTCTCAGAATCAAAAGACTGACAACACCACGGAACAGAAGTTTGATACCATCATGGGGAGGCTCGCAGCTCTTCAACGGGAGATCGAGAGACCAGCCTCGGAGTGCTAGAATTCGAGCTGCTCACAAAGGAGAAATCAACAATATTCAACATTTGGACACCACGGCTCCAGCTGCAGGCCCAAGGCTGGAGCCCACCAAAACAACTCCCTGATAATGACTGTGTGATGACTATTCTTCCCGCCCCATGAAGGACACCTGGATTGGCTGGAGGACTGTTTACTTAGCCTGATAGGCCGAAGGACACTGTCTCAGCTAAACTATGGACACGCACACACACACACTTACACTGATAAGCACTCACTCATCCCCCTCCCTTTCCAACGCCTTCGATGCTTGTGCCCTACCGGGGATGATAGCAGTCAACTGGACCAGCACAGATGCTGCAGGACCGGATGCGCTGTCTACGCCGGCTCTCTGTTACCCTTTACCCGCCCTGTTGCTTGTCTTGTGTTTCTATGGTGTATTGATAGTCATGTGCTTTTGTGCTGAGGTGTTTTTTCTTTTATCAAACTGTTCTCCCACTAGGAGCTCAGTCTGAGTGGAGTTTTTTTTTCTCCTCCTCTTACCTCATGTAGTGTATTTTCGTTGTTTTTTTCCTATCAGCCTACCTTCTGACATGTCTGCCCAATGTGATGTTTGTGTAAAGTTGGTCAGAAGGTTCCTTTGTGAGTGCGCATGCGCCATTAGCGTGCTGCCTGCTGTAACCCCTAATTTCCCTCGGGATGAATAAAGTATTCTGATTCTGATTTCTCCAACAATCTAAAAACATGCTTGTAAATGTCTGTCTATATTATAGACAGACATTTATTATAAGTATATTATTGTTTTATTGACTTATTTATTTATTTGTTACAGTTTTTTCTTAACTCTCTTGTATGAGAGCTTCAAATACGTTGTCAAAGGAGCCTTAAATCAGCTAAAATAGCTGTAATAATGATAAACTAGACAGTATAAATAATATCATAAACTCAAAAACCCTGGGTCGACGACCCAGGCATCCTAACAGTTTTAAGTCTAAATATAAGCTAGGTGACGTTTTCTTTTTGCCTCCCTGTAGTTAACACTGTGTTTGGTAAACTTTAATCACAGTAATTTAAGATATTTTTCCACATAAATGAGCTGGTTGCTTCATTTAATTATTATATCAGACAAATTAAAGTGTTGATGTTAAATTTAGACTAAACCATGCTGGCTTAGCAGAAGAAACCTCCACCTCTGCCTTAGACTAAAACTACTTCGAGTATTTTTATATAATTTCTCATGGTTAGACCACTTAAAGTGCATCTTAAAATTATTTTATATGAATAAATCAAACTTTTTTGTTGAGAAAACTTTTTAAAATACATAAGAAACGTAGAAATCAACCAGAACTACAAAAATAAGCTGGTTGCTTCAGTAACCTGAATTATCTCCATCCATCCATCCATTTCCTTCCGCTTATCTGGGGCCGGGTCGCGGTGGCAGCAGCCCAAGCAGAGAAGCCCAGACCTCCCTCTCCCCAGCCACCTCCTCCAGCTTGTCCGCGGGATACCAAGGCGTTCCCAGGCCAGCCGAGAGATATAATCTCTCCAGCCTGTCCTGGGTCTCCCCCAGGGCCTCCTCCCGGTGGGACATGCCCGGAACACCTCACCCAGGAGGCATCCTTGTCAGGTGCCTGAACCACCTCAACTGGCTCCTTTCGATGTGGAGGAGCAACTGCTCTACTCTGAGCCCCTCCCGGATGGCTGAACTTCTCACCCTATCTCTAAGGGAGAGGCCAGCCACCCTTCGGAGGAAGCTCATTTCCGCCGCTTGTATTCGCGATCTCGTTCTTTCAGTCAATACCCACAACTCGTGACCATAGGTGAGGGTAGAGGCATAGATCGACCGGTAAATTGAGAGCTTCACTTTTACACTCAGCTCTCTCTTCACCACAACAGACCGGTACAGCGTCCGCATTACTGCAGCCGCTGCACCAACCCGTCCGTCGAGGTCCTGCTCCCTTCTCCCATCACTTGTGAACAAGACCCCGAGATACTTAAACTCCTCCATTTGGGGCAGGAACTTGTCCCTGACCCGGAGTGGGCACTCCACCCTTTTCCGGCTGAGGACCATGGCCTCAGATTTGGAGGTGCTGATTCTCATTCCCACCACTTCACACTCGGCTGCGAACAGTTCCAAGGCAACCTGAATTATCTTCACTGATATAATCAATTTTTGAATAACAGTGTCAATCTGTTGTACCATTTTACCAAAAGATCAGTATTTGTTCAAATTTTGACTTTTTTTTTTCTTTTTTGAAAAGGTCATGTCTCCCTTCTTTGCAATAAGTCAATCAGTTGTAAGAGCAGACATCACACGTTCAAATGTATTCACCTACATTTGAAAGTAAAGTAATTACGGCGAGTTTATGCATCTCTGTTTGTGTTCTTTCTATTTCCCATGCACAGTCTTGTGTTTTACTATAAAGGCCAGGCAGTGTGCGCTATGCTGGGTTCACTACACTGGTGTATGAAGCACTGATTCATGCTGCTCCACATGAAAAGCCAAATTAATAGCCAAATGCTGACTGAATGGTCTCTCATCCATCTACAACCAGATGTTCAGCTGCAGAGTCCGATGAAGAGACAGACATCTGTCTGATGACTCTTGTCTCTATTACAACACTCTGATTAATACTCTCATTACAGACCCATGGATCTGAGCTGTTGCTCAATTTTCTGCCTCTAATTAGGAGACTCATTTAGTCTTGCTCTGGTTCCACCTCTCTTACAGGGTCCTCTCTCTATAAGGACCACCGAAGGACCATAAGTGACCAACACACATTCATACGCCTCCCACTCACTTAACTTATACCCTGTGTGGGTTAATGTAATGAACCTTTATACTGCAGCTCATCAGTATGCTAAAAGCAAACCAAGGTTTGTCCCTGGATCAAGTGGAGTCAGTGCTCTCCACCCACACTCAAGAACATTACATTAGTATTGACTGCCCTCTGCTCCACCCAGGATTTATAGTACAAAATAATGTGAAGGGACTTCAGTTCAAACTCTTCTTAACCTCACAATGTTTTAATAAAAAACTTAAGGCATGTATTCACTAATGTGGGATATATTATGTGATTTATACAAAAGTGTGACTTTACCTGTAATTGTCACTTCTCTTAACTAAAATAAAATGAAAAATAATATAAAGGAAATAGCCTTACTTTAAATATTTGTTGGTTTGGTATAAAAAATGGTATTACAACTTGCCTGATGGGGATTTAAATGAACATGTTTATGGAGACTTTGCATCCCTACAAGACTGAGAGTCCACTGCTTCCAAAAAGTTGTGTTTTTGTTGTAATTCCTTTACTGATTGTCCGAAATCTTGCCTCTATAATATACAACATGTTAAATAACAATTAAAAAGACTAAAACCAACTCTGAAAATAATAATAATAATAAATTAACTAAAAAAAAACACCATGGAAACTAACTGAAGCTAGACTGACTTAAAAACTAAGAGTCAAAATGATATAAATATAAAAAATAGATAATACGAAACTAAAATATCGGAACTAATATTACGGAACTGCAATTCCCAGAATGCCTCGGAGAGCCACGGCCATGAGTTGTGTGACTGCCACCGGACGGCTGTCGATGGAAAGTGCAGGAAAACGTGCTCAGTGACAGTCATACAAGCATGCACGCAGCTCAGCGCCGACCAGCTTCAGCAGCAGACATGTAAAAAGATGGATTAGAAAATAATGTCCCTCGCCTATCATCACCATCATCACCACTACCATGTTCCCGGGAGTTTTCTATGCACTGCTGGCGGGTTTCCTCGGGGCCGTGGCGTCGTCCTCGGCCAAACTGTCGCTGGGAGCCGACTACCTGAAGGGTGTCTGTGAAACCGGACTCCGGACATGGGGAGAACAGCGGAAATTCAGACAGGCGGACGAAACTACCGCCTGTGACCGGGTGAGGCATTGCCGCAGTTAAACTCGCTTTAATTATTAACACAGTGAGGGTGAATAATAATGCTCGCCTGCGAGCGGGGTGATTTCTCACGAGGGAAGTTAGGGGGGTTATCCCCGCCCGCCTCTCCTCACCGCCTCCCTCAGCATCAGCACCATCTGCGGCATCACACTGGGGGAGCCCGCGCAGGCAGCGGCGCGCTCGTGGCGTACCCGCGCCCCCGAAGCACACCACTACAGTTACTTGTATTTAGGCGTTGTTTTAGTCTATAAGCGTAAAAATTATCTCTGCGTGTAGATAATAAGCTGAACGGCTGGTATCTGATGGTGAGGATGTCAAGTTTTTCTGTGAATGACCTTCAAGCTGCCTACATACGTCACACAGTGATGTCAGAAACATCTGCAGGCGGCTGTCTGAAGCCTTAAACTGTAGAAACGTGGAAAGCAGTGATTTAAGGCACAAATGAATTGACAGAATTGCAAATTAGGATTGCAGGTGGATGCAAAGCGTATGTAAAGGCTGTTACTTTGCACCACGAGATTTGCCACAATGCACTGTGAAGCTTTGGAAAGTAAATGTTAGAACTAAGTGACTACCTTTGGCCACTGGCCCCTCTATGAGCATGATACTGCTGGAGGTTTCTTTCTGTTAAAAGGGAGTTTTTCTTTCCCACTGTCGGGAAAGAGCTAGGGGTCTCTCTCATTGTTGGAGCTCTCAGAGAGTGCAACTTCCCCCGAAGGGCATGGGCTGTACAAAGAACTTTGATGTTTTATGACGTTTTTATTCCAATATGATGACATCAACCCGTTATGGCATCAATGTGACGTTGTTGGACTTTGTATTGGAAAAAGTGTGTTGTGCAGCTCTCTCCGTCGCCTTTCATATAGCACATTACTCGATGTGGTTGCTTGAAATTTTTTTTACAAGGTTAACTTTGACCGTGGGTGCTAACCATGAAGGTGAAAGTCAAATGTTAGCCAAACTAGGTATCCATGCTGCCCAATACCTAGTACATTGTTGTGATATTTAAAGATGATCAAAAAGAAATTGTGGGTAATATAAAATTTTAATTTCACATTTGGTGTGACCTTGACCCAATTTTCACAAAAATGAAATCAGTTATGAGTATATACCATCACATTAATTTTGAAAATGATATCTTGAAAACTGTGGACACTAGACCACTAACAAACAGAGAAACACACAAACAAAAAAACTGTGCAGATTAGATACTTCCTCCCTTCAGTGGGGGAGAAAAATTTGTCAAGAGCATCTTTAATAAGTTTCTTCTCTCGTCTTTCAGCTTCATATCCCTCTGAGGCTGCTGTGTGGCGGCCTGCTTTTCACCTGCAATGCTGTGATGTGGACCTTCCTTGCCAAAGCACTCAGGTATTCCTCGTCCTCCACCCGAACCACTGTGACCACCACTGCCTCCAACTTCATATCTTCCGTAAGTGACGATCTGTCTCTTATAGCTCTTACTTCATGTCCTCTGAGTGAAATCCTTTACATCAGACAGTAGAGGGTGAAAATATTTTCACGTTGACCTTAACGTCCTTCCTTCTTATGTAACCTGATTTATTTTAGAAAATAGGCTAGACTGTATTCAGAAATAACTTGTCACTGTGATTTATGGCTCTTCATTGTTAAGCTCAGCAGGGATATTGGCCATTAGGGCACCTTTATTGGCAATTTGTTTCTAAAAACAGGCATGATGTTTTTTTCTTTGCAGGCTTTCCTGGGCCAGCTGATCTTTGGGGAAGCCCAGATAACATTGTGGTGGGTTGGGATCTCTCTGACCTTCTCTGGTTTGTTGGTACTGCAGAGGGTTTCGCCGCAGGATGGACAACAGAACACGGTTGCCAAAAAAGATGAATAATGTGACCTGTCTCTACCAGCTGGCTGTGGCTTGTGGTCTGTTTTGGCAGACATCTTCTCTGACTTCAGAGCCAAAGAGCAGTAAAATCTGAAACAGCAGTTGAATTTAAAGTGTTTTCTTCTTTAATCTGGGCACACCTGGAAAAGTTATTATTCCACTTGTTAAAGAGCAAGTAGAAATAGTTGTTTTCTTCCAGTCATATAACAAAATTCAGTTTCACCTGTTTAGCCTAAAGTGAAATTATTAATCAACATACTTAAAAAAAGATTGCTTTATTGAAATCAATATCTGTTTTACAGGTTGCTGTTTGTAGCCCTGCAGGATGTAAAACCCTGCTGGTTCAGCTGTGGTGCAGCCTTGTTTAGCCCTTTCCTAAAATCAGAGGAGATGTTGGCTTTCAGACAGTCAAACCAGAGCACATCCAAAGTCTGGCTAGTAGAGACAAAATAATGGATGGCTAAGTCTGAAATCATCTCTGTCCACAAAGAAGAAGCAAAAATTATACTAGCTTTACATTACTTTTTGGAAAGTCAACAATAGCACAACAGCTTCTGAGCTAATGGAAAATATAAAAAGGAAGATAAATAAAAAGGTTGTTAGATATTTTGGGAAATGCATCTGTTTGATTTCTTTTTGAGAGTTACATGAGAAGATTGATACCACTAACATGTCTTTAGAGACATACTTTATGAAGCCTCATCTGGCATAATTTAGTCTGACTGGAAATCAAAGGGTAGCTGGCCTGGCTCAGTGTCAAGATAACCAAATCTCCTTTTAAACACATTTTATTTAAATAATTAATGCATTATGTCATGTTTGTGTAATATATTCACAAACAGAACTGCAAAAATGACATTTATTGTCTTTGTAGGTCAATATTTGTGAAACTACTTTCTAACTAAGGGTAGTGACTTCCTTCCTGATAAAGGGAGTCATTAAAACCAAGGTGTTGATTTTACTCTTTGGTTTTTGACACAGAACACAAGCTGGGAGTTACTAGATTATTAGGGGAAAAGTGATTGGAGACCATAAATGACCAAAATTATTTTAACTGTGCTATAAACCTGCGATCTTGTTGCCTTTGAAACAGTTGCTTCAAAGACGGAACTGAGTCTGTGATCATTTGCAGTTGCTGTCTTCAGGCAATAAGAGCAACTCTGCTATCAGTTTGCTATTGAATGGGTCCAAATTGGCAACTACATGCGACCTGTTGTGGTAATCCAATGATTAAATAAATTGGTGAAAATTTGCAAATCTGTTGCCATCTGCATATACAGAAAAATCACATTAACTACTTGCACTCAGAGTCCAACCAAAATCTTGTAGATTTGAAAGAGAAGTTCCTCCACAATTAGTAATGTAGTTACTATAGGATAGCAGTATAACTGTAAAGTGACATAGGTGCTTATCAACCTTGCTTTTCTAAGGAATATAACCAGAAACCACCCAGTTGGCAACTAGTTGAGTTGAGATGACTAATGCAAAGAGACATGGCAGACAAGTTGCACTCATCAGCACAGACAAACTCAGATTGATTGCATCATGTTGGCAATAATATTTTCAAACCCTTGTCAACCTGTCTGAGAGCAGTTGCTGTCACTCTGAGTCAGACTCCGATTTTCTGGAGACAGGTTGCCTCCCACCAGGCAACCTGTGCAATTGTCTTGCAACTGAGAGTAACTGCAGAGACTGAAAGTGTTAGATGCTCAGTCTCTGAGTGACCAGTTGGTTGCCACAACTAGTCATCTGGCAACAACCAATTTTTCCCAGGTGCAAGTAAGTCAACATCATATTTTACTCTAGTGTGACTGAGCCATTAGACAGACTTTGTCCACCACCATTAACTGTATAGACATGAGAGTAATCAATCTTTTCATCTGGCTGTCTGCAGGAAAGGAATAGATACATTACTGTAAATGGAAATCTTTATAGGAAAACTCAAATAATACAGAAGGATAATTTAAGAATTTCTGCACATATTTGATTTCCATGTGTCATCATTAGCAATGGACAAATAACATCTTCTGCTCTGTGCATCACTCAGCCTGTGCATTAGGTATTGTATTCCAAAAAGCTCTCTTAATTCTCCCATTTCCTTAAGTTACTAAGACACTCACCACAACATCCAGCACCAACATTGCATTTTATGCATGCTCAAGGCAATGTTTTATAAGTGAAGTCCTTAGCTAATGAAGTGTGCTTATATTTTCACAAGTAATAATGCTTCTGATGTAGCACTCAAAGGCTTATCCCCCCGAGAGGAATTCTCTCTCTGCCTGAATTTATTTATTTTTATCTGCCTTTCTTGACAGCTTGAACCTTAACCTCGAGATATGAGCATGACACATATTTTGATTCAGAGGCAGCTGATTTTCGATTTCATGATAGATGTGTGCATATTATCAAGAGGGCCTGAACTCAGATAAATCACACCAAAGCATCCTCCTGCATCTACAATCCACTCAGAATCAGAGTGACGTCCCCTTTGTGAACCGCTTCATTAAACTTGTGACTTAAGTGTCCCCCGCTATCTCTCCAGTGCCAGGCCTTGCGATTGCCAGTTTAGCTTCTTTGACCTGAATTTAAATTCTCATATTAGTCTGTCGCACATCTTGAATAATAATTCATTATTTCTTTGGGCTTCATAGACATCTCTGTTCGCTAACAGCTTCCATCAACATCTCTGGATGAGTCGGTGAGAGTGCAATAACGTATTTTCTCATACACTGTGACATGTGTTACGGAGGGAGCTGTGAACATTAATAAATGAAGAGAGAAAATGTCAATATATGCTACCAGAGGGAGGTTCTCTTAGTATAATCAGCTACAGGGATTTGCCTGAACAAGACATCAAAGGCTGCTTTAATGAACAAATCACATTTTGCTGTTGTTTGGATACATATCATAATATAAATGCATAATGGTAGCTATGGTACTTGTCTGTAGTATCTCACAGCAGTAACGCACAAATATATCAAATGTCCTTCCAAGTGCTGCTGTGAAGGTTTTGTACCATGTGATTTGCATCCCAGTTAATGTGACTGCAGTGAAAATGTGACTATAATATTATCTTCTCATATTCAAGGCACGCCGAACAATATTTCATAGCAGGGATGTACATGAAGCATCATCAGGTGTTTATGCCTCAATGTTTTGCTTTAATTTAAAAGTAACAGTAAGATATTTTAACAGGAGCCTGATGAGATCATTATACCACTCTGTAAAAAAGCTTTAAGTGGTCAGCAAGACTAGAAGAGTGCCTATATGCTAAGTTAAGCTAATCAGTAACTGTTAGTTAGCTTAGCTCACCAAAAATATTTTAAATGGACTGTAAATACCAATACATTTGAAATTACAAGCTAAGCTGTTGGTTAGCCTAAGACTAAAAAGACTAAAAAGAAGATTGCTAGTAAATAACAATTCGATTTATATCCTATGCTAAGCTAATCAAGTAGCTAACCTAGTTAGTTAGCTTAGCATGATTTAAAAATTGTTACATAAATCCATATGCCAAACCATTTACAACCTAACCTAAACTAACCAGCTTGCAGCTGGCATAAAGACTACAAACGGCTGCAAGCTAATTTAGATAACATCAATTCTTAAAAATGTCAAACTCATTCATTGTCTGATTAGTATCAGTGTTCAGAGACTTTGCTTCTAGACCCCGTATCATAATGACTTTACATTTTTACACCTAGAGAGTTTAAATGTTAACAAAGTAATATGTCAGTGAGTTTTAGAGGGGTCTTTTTGATAGATCCTCCTTCTCCCATTTGCAATCTTAATGTTAGGCCTATCTATGGGGTTCTTGGCTGTGGTAATGATCTCATCTGGCTCACAGCAAGAAATTAAATGCTGATGTATTTCTTTAATCTGCCTTTAATATCTGCCTGGCTTTTCTCCAGTTAACGGCATGATATGGGAAACCATGTTCCTGTGAAGCCACTCTCACTGTAAGATAAGCATCCAGAGATTCTGCAGTAGCAAAAATTATAGCTTTGTGAGAGCAGCATGGTATTGAAGTGGCATGCATTTCTATCCGTGGGTGTCCAAAGTGTTTAGAAAATCACTATAGTAGGGCTTTGACCTGACAAGCTGCATGTCACAATGACAAGTTAATATGCTGCACTGCAAGAAAACTAAAATGGTCTTAAACAGTGTTTAACTTGGTAGCTCCGTAATGCAACTATATGATGCAGCTGTTGAACCCAAATGATAATAGAATGGGTCATTTTCTGGTGATTTCACTACAGGCAAGATGCTGCATTCTGCATGCTCTATCCAGGCAGCTCTTTGATTTAAAACAGAATATTTCAAATAGTGACAAAACATGACTCTTCTACTGTGTGCTGGAAATTGTAGAGTTCATGTTTGAAAACAAGATAAGGGGAGCTCACTGAAGACCTGAAGGAAAACAGACTGATTTTGTGTCTGTTGTACTCCGGCTCCTGCTATAAGCAGCTCAGTCATCGCTTTAATCTGAAAGCTGCTACACCAAAATAACTTTTTAATATGCATTGAGACAGTTTGATTAGATTGCTCTGATATGAATCATTATTAAAATGCATTACAGATTATGTGGAACAAACATTTGTAAAAGTGTAAATATATTGTTAATATAGAAAAATGTGTAAAGTAAGAACTCCATTGAGAGAAGTCCCACCCAACCTATTAAACATCTCATCTAACAAACGGATTGTTGACTCATTACTGTGTTGTAGTAAGATGCTCTTTGTAAATCTGAAGCTCTGCTGTTTCCGGTTAATTCACATTGAATGGGAGTGTACGTTTTCATGAAGAAAAGAGGAAATTCAACCACAGCAGTGTCCGATAAAAAACAGCATTACTGTTGATAATGGGGCTGGAGAAAGTGCTGTCCTTGAGCTAGTTTACATCTAATTACACAATGAGATGTGTGCTCTGTTAGACTGGCCTCCTTTCTTTAAGTAGTCTTGTTCCAGTAAAAATGGAAAACAGCCCTTCATGAAATCTGCAAAAGTACGCTCAAAACTTAAAGGCAGCAACCATTCAGATTGTGATTCAATGGATGTGATTCATCCTTTGAAGGTTTTGAAATGATGAAAATCTGTAATTCTACACAGATTGCACAAATTGAGGTCTCCTTCCTGTCAAAAGGGAGTTCTTCTTTCACTTTTGCAAAGTGCTGCTAATGAAGAACTGTCTGATTGTTGGGAGTTTCTTTCTAATATGTTAGAGTCTTTACTTTATTATACATTATAAGTCAGCGGTCCCCAACCTTTTTTGCGCCACGGACCGTTTTATGTCCGACAATATTTTCGCGGACCGGCCTTTAAGGTGTCGCGGGTAAATACAACAAAATAAAACCATTACCGGTACCAACCAAAAGAAAATTTACTTATAATTCATGGGAAAAGACCCAGGGAAACAGATTTAACGATAAAAACTGACAAAACCCTTGAAAAACATAAGTTTCACAGCTAAGCCTCAACTCTATCGGCCCGGTACCAAACGACTTACGGAACCGACCGCTGTTATAAGTGCCTTGAGCTGACGACTGTTTTAAGTTGGCGCTATATAACAATAGGGGAATTTGAATGTTTCTATTCAAATTTATATGAATACATTTTAATTGAAAAGACAGTTTATAGTTTAGTGAGTAAATTCTTAATGTATATTTGTATGACACCATTAGATATAAATTATATAAAATATCTGACCGTGATGAAAGGATAATTAAAGCTGGACCATGAAAATGTATACATAACTGATAAGTGGCAGGACTTCTTTTCAAACCAAATATCCAATACTTTGTCACCACTTTTTCCTCCATTGTTTTTCCACACTAACCCTTCCCAAAATACTGAGCTATAAACAAATAATTAAAAAAAAAAAGTGAATTCTAATTAAATAAATGCAAATCAAGTTTGTAACTTCAACTTTGTTGATATAATTACACATTACAGTTTAGATACAATATGAGATTTTAGGTCTACGCTTTTACAGTATTTGTGTGTGAGGTTATGCTGTTTTAATGTTAAACCCAATTTTGAAAATGTTTTTTAGCCTTAGATAGAAGCTTCTATAATGACGAATCAGCTGTTAAATAATGATTGTGGCATCAATATCATCGATCACTAACATCTTTGCATCAAAAATGTCTACAAGCTTACACAAACCGTAAATAAAATATCCATAGTCATACATTTTATTTCATATCCTTTGAAACAAATACAATGATCAGAAAAACAAAATAAAAACCACGTGGCCCACAGTAAATAAGACAAATAAGTTTGCATACCGACCACAGAACATTTTTGAGAGGAAGAAGAAAAAAAAAAAAAAGCTGGTGTGCTGTATGTGTAAACCTGTTCCGTGTCCACATAATGGTTACGACATTTAAAAACCTAAGAAAATCTAATTTCTGACAACTGTTTTAATGGCTACATCCTTGCCTCCCCTCCTTTAGCCTTCAATTTGGCAATACATATATTTATAATATCTTTTCATCATCCTCTAAATCATGTTTTTTGTTTTAACTCGAGTAAGGCTTTTAATAACACGTTCTGGCAAAGGCATTTAAGTGTTAAATGCTTTGAAGATGCCCATTTCTTATCTGCATCAGATTCTCATCCTCAAAAGTAAAATCTGAAGTTTCCTGTGTTCCATTAAAATCCACAGTTGTGACAGTTACACACTTCCAGCACGAGTGAACATTTTCTCTGAGCTCCCGCCTCCAAAAAACATAATTACAATGAAAATCTGTGACAAACCAGACCACAAGCGAATTCCATCAACTGAGAGCAAGTAAAATACACTTAGTGTCAACACACACAGAGCAACGTGTATTGCTTGATTCCCTGACTTTCTGTCTCAGCTGGTGATTGTTACAAAGCAAATGAAACTAAAGTTCAAAAGGATGCTGGTTTAACTTCAGTTTTATATTCGACCAGGAAGTCACTGTAAGTATCTTACACTTTTACCTACCTAGTATCAGACTTGAAAGTTATAACCCTTAAGCTTTTCAGGAAATTGAACTCTTTTGGTTTTTACACTTTTAGCATTTTTGGACAACATTTTGACATCCAGTTTATTTACGTTCTCTAACTGCTTTTCTACATAGCCACCTTATTAGGTAGTCTAATGTAATTAAACACAGCTCTGCCATAAAATTCTACACAGCTATTCAATTATAATCCAATCAGTCACAACATTAAAATCACTGAGAGACCAAGTAATTAGCATTGCTCATTTTATTAACGTGAGATGATCTGCTGGGCACCCGGGAAGATTGGCATTCACATGGCTGTTACTTTCCCATCTACCACCCACTTAAATGTTACAGCAAAACAGCCTCCACAAACATGCCAACGTGCCCGAGCCCTCTGTAAAAACCATTCAGGAACAGCTTGATGAACACAACAAAGAGCCCAAAGCATTGACCTGGAGTCCAAGCTCCCCAGATCAGAAGTGGATCAAGCATCCAATCATGTGACTGGAACAAGCCCAATCCATGGAGGCCACACCCTGAAACCCAACAGGACCCAAATGCTGTCCTGCCAGACGCCACAAGATCCACCTTAAAGGTCATGTATTAATTCCTCAATGGGTCAGAGCATTTTTGGCAACACGAGGAGGACCTTCACAATATTAGAAGGTGATCTGAATGTTTAGTTTAAACTTTCGGCATTCATTACTTGTTCAAAGAAAGGGGGGGAAAAGTATTTAAAAACATAAATTTCCCAATATTCCTCCTTTAAATCTCATCTCTGTAAGACACATATTGATGATTTCTATGAAGGTCATCAAAAAACAAAAGGCTTGAAAGGTTAAGGTAATATTTACGGCAGAGCTGCAGATTTTTTGTTAGTCTTAGATTACGCAATTAATCATGCACAATTTAAACTGCCAGCATAAGCAAGTGGAAGTGCTTAATTCAGTCAGTGCTAGCATCTGTACCAGCTGTTTAAGCTGCATCTAATGCAACATTTCTTACATGCTCTGCTGGCCAAACACAAAGGAAGTTTTATTGTGAAGCTAACGCAAAGTGATTGTCAGAGTTTAATCTTCAAATTGCCTTTGGCTTAGCATTTTATGATCTAACCTTCACGACCCGATCAGACTTTTTCTAGATGTTGTGACGCTGGATTGGTTTTAAATTTAAAAAAAAAAAAATCATAAGAAGATAGGCGCTGCAAGACTCGGGTTACTTGTGGAAAATGAAAAGAAACCTTGTTTTACCTGGATGCTCTGTGGGCACATACAAACACTGCTCAGTGAGCGTTTAGTGCAATATAAACTGACCAAGTAGCACAGAAATCTTAAGGGTTATAACTTTAACCAGCCACCGTGAGGTTATTGCTGTTCTCCATTTTCAGAGTCCTCTTGAAAAACACTTAAAACTTTTCCAAAATGTGATTTCTTGCCAGAAAGGTTAGGCGTTACATTTGTCTTTTGATTGCAGTAATGCAAGAAAAAGAAAAATGAAATGGACAAACCTACTTTTCTCTGGCATCAAAAAGAGGAAACAAGTAGCATTAACAAGTGTGAGCCTGAACTGTCACATTAAGGCAAATAAATAGAAATAGCTTTACAAAAAGCAGATTCCACTGCTCGCTAATGCTCTGTTCTAAGGCAAATCATCCGCAGCATTCAGCAAAAAGACTACCGCGACTACATTAATAAAGCAAATGAAGGAAAAAGGATCATTTTTTACAGGAAGACAAAACCAGGTGTTCATTGTGGCAACCATGCTGCGCTTCTTTGAGTAGAAACATTCAGGACTTGAGTTCACATTGTGTAGTCTTAGAAGTAGGAGATGATTGAAGATACTGCAGGCATATTCACTCCAGCGAATGCAAAACTTAGTCTCTTGTTGTGTTTTGCCAGAGTCTCATTAGATGCTTCTTGTCAAGATGCTGCTGCATAGCTTAAGAGTGCTGTATTGTGCAGCTACACCTCGTTAATCTCAGTCAGCACCAAAACAGGGAAAGGGCAACGGCAAAATTTAAAAAGGAAAAACACATTTTACAGCAAAACACCCTGAAATATCAATAGTTCCTAGAAGAAAGAAAATTTAGAAGTGGTTAAGAGAAGTTTGTGCTCCAGGCAAGAGTGATCAGTCTATGTCCACAGACACTTAGAATCCAGCTTTCACACTATATACTGATACACATCTGCCTTTCCATGGTCAGGTGTTGCAAAGGGGCTCAGCCAGGCTATAGAGAATGGGTGGCCAAACACCACCTTCATGTTCATCCATTTAGACTTTTTGGCCCATCTCCTCTCCTCCTTCTTCAGCTGCTCGATACCCTGCAAAAAAGGTAAAGCAACGCAGTGCGAGTTAAATTCAGCCCTGATACAAAACATCGAAACATGCAGCTGCTGAATGAGGGATTAAAAATGAATCACAATTTGTATTCTTTTGTTTTCCTTTCACAGGTCTTAGGTGACTCACTCTCAGTGGTTCCTGACGATTAAGAAAGCTCCCAGGATAAACCAACACAGTCAACAAATG